ACCAACAAACCTCCGCTGTGCTGTAACGACAGGGACAAACACACACATCACGAACATGCCGAAAGCCAAGAAGTCGGGGAAGAGAAAGAACTTCGACTACAGCCAGGACCGGAAGAAGCTGAAGAAGAAGTTCATGAAGAAAGACAACCCGAGGATAGAAAAGTGAGTGAGCTCATTTAGCATGTGAGCTAAGCCTGGGCCATGTCGACACCATGTGAGACAGGTTGACGTGCAGTGTCGTTCTCTGTTCCTTTATTAAGTACAAGTAGAAATACCATAGTCTGTAAATACTCCATTACAGGTTAAAGTCCGGATTCAAACGCAAATATTCCAAGTTAAAGTACACTTAGTGCAGAATGGCTCCTTTCACAGTGTTATATTGTTTTATAATGTAATGTTTTTTCATTTTAATGCTGTAGTTTGCTCATGTGGAGCCAGTTTTGGATATTATTAGTAGTATGGGACTGCATCATAAACATAAGAGCATGTTTGTTGAAGTCTAAAGTCAAATAATAATAAATGTAGTGTAAAAAAATACAATATTTCCCTCTGAGTGTGTTGGAGTATAGAGAGGCATATAATGGAAATGTGTGGCTCCATAAGGAAACAAAGGCGGATACTAACATTAACAAGCATTGTCATGACTGTGAAATATGGAGATTATTATTATTTTTTAGTTAATCAATTAATTGCTCACTGTAAAGTCAAATAGTGAAGTATGCCCCGACATTACGATTTCACTGTGTCACCTTTAATTCCCCTGTTTTTATTAGATTTTTTTATTATTTTTACAGGACTACAAATTGTTTAGGTATTAAATTCAGGGATTTTGATTAATTATAGTTTTCTTTGCATTTGTGCTTTATCGTATAACAACTACTCACAGCTCTGCACTTTGGGCAGTTTTGTTCTTATCAAAAGTCAAAAAGTAATTATGAATTATTAAATATAGTGGAATTGTTAAGAGTTTTGCAAACAAACATTGTTTTCACTAGAAAACATAAAGATAACAGATCTTCTTATTGGGTGGAACATTGATGATAAAATACATCTACAGGTGGATTTGGATATAAAACTACAGAGCAGTGCCTTTTTACGGTAATGATTTAACAGAACCACACAAACTGGAACTTCCCATTGGTTGTCTGTTGATGTCATTGTGTGTCCTAACTTGTCCTCTTTCTCAGCACACAGATCCGAAATGCTTGGGACGACAAGAAGTCCATGACCAGAAACCTGCAGGAGATGGGTCTGGCTTTTGATCCGAACCGCACGCTGCCAATAAAGAAACAAAGAGTGAGTTACTGCCGTGGTTCTGTTGTATGTTCCCTGTAGGTTTCTTTAACCAGGAAGGTTCCCTTTATAGTTCTACACAGTCAGACCTACTGTGTCTTATATCCACAGTCTGTATCTTCAGAATAACTATAAATAATTACATTATAATCAGATTTAAATATTCCTTTCCTAGCTTCTGTTATCTCATTGCCATTATGGGATGTTTTAAGGTATTAAATGGCAGTATTTTACCATTATAGTCTATTGTAACTGTGTCTGAAACAGCCTGCTTCAGCCTCTAGACTCCTCCACTACCCAGTTATTTTTATGCAGTATTTACATTTACCTTCATATTTCTTTGTGTCCTGTTGACTGAGACCAAAGTGTGACCACGTGACAGACGTGGTATCTTTTTTTAGTCCTCCTCTTCCTCATCAGCATGAGTAATTACATCCATTAAAGCTGCTGTGTTGAACAATGCAAGTAAAGTCATTTACTTTTTAGGCAGCCTGCATGAAAGAGTTCATTTATCAAACGCTCTGATGTGACTGAAATTAGGTCAATTAGAGAGCCACCGTGACAGTTTCAGTCGATTTTGGATGAATTTTTCAGCCCCGCTCAGAAAGCACTAAATTTAACTGTTTGCTGTTCGGGTTCAGTTTTTGTCCCAGTGTTGAATGTTTTCTTCTTCCATCTCTGAAATCTGAAATCCAGCTACACTAATGTCAATTAAATTCTTCAGCTTTATGATATGATTAGGCACAAATTCACCAGTTCAGAGGAGCAGCCAATTACTTTGATCTGACTCTGCAACGGATTAAAAGATTTTTATCACGTTCAGCTGCCAAATAAAGTTTATATAGAAACACTGGATAAGATTAGATGAAACTTTTATTTTTCCTGAGGGAAATAGAACCGAACGCAAACAAAATATCAATAAAGGTTTAAATATAAAAATAACAAATACATATACAAAATCAATATTAAAATGGAAGATTTTTGTACCAAATGTGAGCAAGATCATAGTCAGTGACCAGATCAGTGGTTGAATGATTGTGTTGCTCAGCTGCTGCTGTATTGTTTCCTCAGAGCTGATAAAACACGGCTCCTATTATTAAATTGGAAATAGTAAATGTATCAAACAGGGCAGAATTTTAAAACGTGTTCATGTCCTGTAGTTTTCGTTTGTGCCACAAGGGGGAAACAGAGCGTTGATTATGATGATTGAACATATGTGAAAGCAGACTCCTTAAAACGAACTTCAGTTAAAGAGTCATTAAATGTGTAAAACTGATGTTTGAAACAAGTTGGAGCTCATTCAGTAGGGACTTGCCTGTCCAGCAGGGCCCACGCTATGGAGAGTTCCCTTGAGCAAGGCATTTTCCCCAGCAGATAAGATAACTGATCATTCCCCATTTTTGTAGTTTTTACACACCTGATGGTAAGAAAGGCTGAGATGAATAATTTAATATTCCATAGCTCTGACCTAACTAAATCTAACTGACATCACTGCTCTTAACACAACAACAACAGAAAAAAACAACAGTCGTCAGTTAAATAACGTGACCAACAAATTGTTGTGAGAATCAAAATAAGTTATTATTATTATTATGGACCAATAAT